CTGCTGCCAGGAGGGACGCAGTTACTGCTGACTGCCAGACCTCACTGATTTTAAGCATGGCAAAGCCCAGAACCTGTGTTCCTTTCAGAGACAGGATATACTTAGTTCACTGTTTGACATCACCTTTTTTCAGAGAAGGGCAGGAGTGAGCTGCCTTCTGTTGAAGTTTCCCCAGTTTGATAAGGGAGACCTTATCGCTCTTTCCAACTACCTGACAGGAAGTTGTAGTGAGGTTGAGGGTTGGTCTCATCTACCTAATAGCAAATGAAAGGACAAGAGAAAATGACCTCAAGTTGTGCCAAGGGGAGCTTCACTTGGATATTAGGGAAAATTTCTTCACTGAAAAAATTGCCAAGCATTGGAGCAAACTGGCCAGGGAAGTGTCGGAGTCACCATCCCTGGAGGTATTTAGAAGATGTCTGGATGTGACAGTTAGTGACATGGTTTAGTGGTGGACTTGGCAGTGCTAGGTTGGACTCAATGGTTTTAAAGGTAATTTTCAACCTAAATGATTCTATGACTCTGTTGTGGTGGTTATCCCTAAAACAGATGGTAGTAAGTTGACCCCGACTGATAACTAAGCCAGTCTGGCTCACTTCCCCACAATGAGAAAAAATACTCATGAGCTGAGGTAAAGCCAGTTTAATGAGGAAAACAAAAACAAACCACAAAACAAACAACAAAAAAGCAAAAACCAAGTGATGCAAAGTCAATCACTCACCCAGTATAGCAATTCAACACCAGATGCAGTGGCTGCTGGAAATGGTATGATTTTGCTGTACCTTACCTCCTAGTTGTTGGCAAACAGAATTCCCTTCTCCAGAAGTCTCCCACTGTCACTGTATTTCCTTTCAGAGGGGCTGTGCTCAGACTTGCACAGGCCATGTGAATTTTACTGTAGAGGTTGATCCTTTTAAGCAATTGCAGCCACAGCTCCCTCAGCTTTTTGTTGAACAAGGAGACACTGTGGTTGTAAGATCACAACTATCACCCCTGTTTTACGATTTTTATGGGCATTAATGGAACAAGGTTTGTGGACTGAAGGAGAAAATGGAATATGAAAAGGAAAATGAAAAGAGGTTGTGAGGAAAGCATGTCATTTCTAAATGAATGCTCTGTGCAGAGGAATTTAATCTTTTCACAACTGAAAATGGATCTTAAATCTGATGCCTTAGCTTGTTTCAGCTTCTGTAATGAAATAGAGTTTTCCTAATACCCTGTGACCTGAATTTCTCCCTGCTTTATGGGTGCTATTCCTTGACGTACAAACCTGTATTTTCTCAAGTCAGCATTCGATGATGGATGTCAAAATACAGGTCATGTATTATGCATATAGCATTACCGATTTAAGGTGTTTACTTGTCAAGTTGAAGAAATTCAAAAATGTCACATTCACTGAATCTGCACAGCTGTCACTTGTAGTTTTTCATGCCTTTAAATGAAAGTTCTGATAAAGCAGGTTAGTTTTCCTGCACTTTTTTTTTTTTTTTTTTTTTTTGGTTCTCTTTTCTGGAGTCAAAAAATAGACAGTCTATGTATAGAATTTACTTTGTGACTTGGGATTAGGAATGTGGCCTGAAGGTCTACGACACCATGTGACTCCAAACACAGGCACACAAAATCCACAAATACTTCAGTTTTCCTTTTCCTTAAAATATTCCAAACATTTTTAAAAGTAAATTTCTAGAAGTGTCTGAATTAAGTACAAGCAGGGAAATTAAATTATCAGGTATTTCTTACATCTTTCCAGACCACAGGATGAAAAATATCAAGACATGAGTCTAGTTTTACATTCAAGGTGAAAACAAATTCTCCTTAACATGCTTCCTGCGTTTCAGACTGAATGCACTATGTGTGCAGTGTGCAATTACAGAGCTTCTGACAGTCACTGTCTAACAGAAATGCTGCATTTACTTCAATTTTCTGACACCATCCTAAGAAGACAAATATTTGAAGGGTTAGAGAGGTGGCTACAAATAGCCTTCAATGGAGAGTGTGCGTGTCCGTGCCTCTATGTGGATGCACACTGCAGTGGAGGGAAGGCAAGAAGAACTTGCATGTTTAGGTGCAGTTATGCTAATTTACTTCAATTTGCTTTTAACTGCAGGGAAGTGCTGATGTGCTCCTACCATCTGAATAACCTGATTCACTAAAAAATATTTTAGGGAACGCATCCTGAGATGGGCAGAGGAAAGCCTTCAGGAAAAAGGGAGAAGCAGAGCCTCTATGGATGCTCTGAGCAGTACAATCCCTAGGGTACATGAGAACAGTATAAGTTTTCTTTGCTCTTAGGTAACTGAGTGTAAAAAGTCTTGCTGTTGCCATTTTGACCTGTAATTCTGCAGAGAACCCAACTGGGCTTGCCAGCTTAACTACTCAAGGAGTCTGGATGAGCTTTTTCTATTATACTGTGACAAAGGCCATATCTTGCATCTCCTAACAGAATGCATTCCATAACAGAGTGCAAGACTTAAAACACTAGATCGTGCTGCAGAAGAAGGTGTCACAATAATACCCACCTGTCCTCAGATAGCACTTCCTCCCTTTGGAGTCCCACTTTCATTTTCCTGCTGTTGAGAGAGTGTCAATATCACCTGTAAGTCATGAGGTGGTGCCTGAATTGCCTCTGTAAGACTCACTTTGGGAGCCTGAGGAATCTCCAGCTCTGCCATGCAGAAGTAAATGTTCAAAGAGCCAAAGACAGCTATCAGTCATAGTGCCCAGATACAAGGAAACATCTGCAAACCAACACCAGTTGGAAATGCAACTCACCGTCACCCTGTCGGTCTTACTGAATTAGTTTCAGCACATCACCATGGCTAGGCTCCATGAACGAAGATTTGAGAAGGACTCTACCCACACTTCAGCACAAGTTTCAGCACAAGGAGCAATATTAAATGACTGACTGTTAACACTTCTGATTCCCTCATAGAAATCCACTTTCTAAAGATTTTCTATGCACTGGTAATATTAAATAGAATTGTTTTACTGACTTAGGTTTGTGTATGGCAATGTTTTAGTCTTGCAGGCCTGCTGAAGATACCACATCCAATTCTTTTCTGCTAAGGAATATCTTCACAGACTTTTCACTCTCATCTTAGTTATCCTGACTGTACAATCGTCATGTTGCATCTAGTTTTTCTTGTGAGAGAATGAAATTCATACCAGTACCTTCTGGAGGGCTAAGAAAGTCTCTCCTCAGTGATTCTGGTTTTATTGCCTGTATATTCTATATGTGATACAGACAAAACATAGGGATAGATGAATGCAAGAAAAATTTAAATCCTATTAAATCAGGAAGTCCAGATCTAGTGGTCCTTGTAGTTTAGGGGCAGTTTAACAGTGATGGTAATTATCACTGGAAAAGAACCATAAATCCTTAAGACAATATAAAACCAGTACAATGTGGTAGAAATTATAATTTAGTTTAGAAATTTACTGGTTTGCAAAATTGGTCCCCAATCTAAAGAGAGGTAAACTATGTAATATCATATTCTCTGAATTTAGTAACAGATTAACATATCAATGAATTTAATGGTGTGAAACAGTTTCCACACTGCAAGAAGATAATGAAGTTATGTCAGGAATTAATTTGGCTTTGATTAATTTAGAATCAGTATATGGAGAATTCAGAACTATTGACAGAGGACCAGAAGTCTGTCCCTGGATGTCAGGTGTGAAGTCAAAGAACTTAGGAACAATGTGGCAAAAAAATGTTTTCTCAGAAATGCATGCTTTAAAGTGAGCTTGGATCAATCCTATTTCTGGCATACAAATGCTTGCCTAAAAATGCTGCCTTAACATTTGTCTGTATTAAAGTCTGAAGTCAACCTCTAGCTTCACCATCACTTCTGCAATAATGACATTAAATTAATGTTCCCATGTTTTCTACAGCTTTAATGGACAAGGGAGGTGGAATGCTTTAGTTTCAACAGTGAATTTCCATTCTTCTATTGCATGGGCTTTTGTATAACTACTTGTTTTTCAGTATTTATAATCAAACTCCAAAAGGCTTTGTCTGGGTATTTTTTGTTTAAAGAAACAGAAAAAAAAGAGGAGGGAAAAAAAAAAAAGACAAAAAAATGCTCAGTGTCAAGGGCTCCATTTCAAAGTGTATAGAGAATCAGGCTGAAAACATAATGTCTCTTGGAGGTGAACCTTGGTGGTCTCCAGATCTCTTTTTCTGTGAGTGGCCGCCAACATGTTTCCTCTCCCACCTTTGTTTACTTTACATCTTTACTCTTTCTAGTTTCTTTTCAAGGATTTGTCTTATATACTGTTTGAAAACCTGTGTCTTTTTCTTTCCTTTCTTTCTTTTTGTCTGTTAAAATGAATCCTTCCATCCCAGTATTCCTACAGTGATAATCCTCATAGAAATGCGTATTATAAATGGTACACATGAAAATTAAAAAAAACACAAGCAAACAAACAAAACACTATGTGTAGGTTGTATTACTCCTGGAAAACACTTAAACCCTGCTTGTTGATCAAACTTAAAACCAGCTAATGGAAGCAATTTCTTCCTCATGGTTGTACTACCATTTACAAACAGTACTGTTTAAAATGTTATTTGTTGTTTAAGAAAAGGTGTTTATTTCAGGATTATTGAAATACTGATCAGACAAAATTAAACCTCTCAAACATTGTGGTCTTTTTTATTTTTATAAAAAATAAAATTTTATAATTTTTTGATATTTTAAGTAAGCATTACTCTTTCCATTTTGCACTCTTTGATGCAAAGGCTTAGGATAGCAAAATGAACTTCAATTTCTCCATTAGCTATCAAATATCTAACAGTAGAAATAAACTGTATATCAGTGAAGGATTGTGCTTTTATGAAATAATTGTTGAAAATTAAGACAATTTTTTTTAAATGACAATTTTTTACCATACTTTCCTGGAAAAAAAATAAAATCAAGAGATAGGGAATTCCCCATAGTTTGTCCTCTGTAAACTTTCTCCTTTTTTTTTCTTTTTTCTCCTTTTCTTTTTTCTTTTAGGCTTTACACCCCCTGGAATGGATAGGTCATCTCCAGACAACAGTCCAGTCCATGGCCTGTTACGTCAACCCTCCATTACAACAGGAGCCAACATCCCTATTATTACAGAACTAGGTAAGGAAAGCTAACATTTATCCTTTCATGTACATTCCCATATCTCTTTCCCACTTCCCTTGTTATGCAGTCACAGAGAAATTACCCATACTGTATCTTACACTGTTATGTTTTCTCTTTTGATAACTGCTTTGAATTACTCCCTCTAAAGAAAGTTTAGTAACGGTTCACTTTATTTGAATGACTAAAATATATTTCTCTCCTCCCTTTGGGTTTTCTCCATTTTCTTAAATAAATATTCTATCAGGCAAGACGCTTTTTGCATAGTGTAACAAATAAGCAGAGGTCTTTGGGCTAAGGTTAGAAAAGGAAGAAAGTCACAGTAAGTATGAGCAGATATTTCCTGTGCATTTAATCAATTGTAAGAGGCCATTTGTTTATTTCTTCATGGTCCAAAACTGTTTAATCATGTGTAACCAAACTCTGTATAATAGTATGAGATATTTTACTCCTGAGAATACGATGATGGTAGGTAACTAGACTCCGATTTCCACTCTAGCTGTGGGTATTTATGTTGTCAAGTGGTGTGATGTGAAGTGCAGAAGCTGTTCTGTTTTTTTCATGGCAAATACAAACTTGATCTGTGGTCCTTTGTCCTCTATTTTCTTTTTCAGTTTTATTTTTTAGAGCCTTATCTGTCTTTTTCCCTTACTTTATTCTCTTTCTGTACTTTCTTTTCCCCCTAAATACTTTACTTACTAGCTAAGCCTGGCAAACTTCTGCCTTTGGTTTCAATCAGTCAGGAAAAAAACAGTGGAACCCACATTCTTATGATAACTGAACTGGGTAAGAAGTGCCTTTTTCCTTCACATCACTGTCTTATTTTCTGTTGTTGTTGTTCTTACTGTCATCAGCTTTCCCTTTATTTATCTGGCTGTATCAGAGGGGCTACCCTCATGGCACTGCTTTGAATGTGTTTTATTTGTGGTTCTAGTTGAAATTGACTGTCTTGTTCTGGTTTTTCTTAATGATTTTTTTTTTCACACAGCATCAGTAAACCTTTGATCACACTCGTCTGACCTGCCGGCTGTTTTCATAGCACTTCCTCACCAATTCATTTTCTTTGGCCTGAGTCCCCACCTTCCGGTGCCCTCCCCTTCACCTCCCCCCAATTTTTCTCTCCTTTTCTCTCTCTCTCTTTCTTTTTTGTTACTTCAGCCTGTTGTCAATTTGGTGGACATGCCTTAGCAGTTTTCACAGGAAGTCCAAGAGGAACTAAAAGATACCAGGAAAAAAAAACCAGCATCATACTTTCCCTTAAGCTATTTGTTTGTTTATTTTAGGGAGTAGGCTTTTCCCCAGAAGCTCAGGTTTTGAAGCTGTAGAGAAGCAGTCAAGTTTCTGCATTGTTCCCTCCCGACACAGAGCTCTCACCAGCCTTTGCAAGCAGCGTTTGACGAGCTTTCCCTGTGGTGCAGCACAACACGTTCGAGCCCACCTCACCTGGCCCAGAGACCTTTCATAGAAACACTAGCCTGCTAACTTGCATTAGGAAGATAAAGTTATTGAGGATAACACACTTGCAGAATTCACATTAGATTTGTAGCATTTTGGGAACTGACACCATGCGTGTCTAGCAAGCTGGTGTCTAAGGCAGGTATTAGTCTGCCAGATATAAGTGAAAAAAGAATGGTACTGTCAATAGTGCCTACTCTCAACTAGCAAATTAAACTAAGGTACAAGCTTTCAAAAAGCACATTTTGAAATTATACAGCAGGCTTTCAAATACTATATTGCTCAAGAATCTGGAGAATAAATTCATAGGTATTGTACTAAAGAAAAAAGTATTGTGGATATTGGTGTTTTCTTGGATGAAATTCTTCTGATTCCCAGGGCAGAACATTTCTCTGATTACAATGAGGTGTTACATATTTACAGTTACATCAGGGAGTGGGAAGGCAGGAATTTTAAATCCTAGTCTCATCTCATTTAGACAGCTATTATGCGGTTTTATCTGTAGTAATTTATGTTTTGTAAGCTAAGCATGGCAAGGGCAGTAGAATATAGTTTTGAAAAGGAGTGGACGGAAAAGAAAACTATATGGGAGGTAATTAAACTGTATGAGAAGGAAGATAAGAATAGCAGGCAGAAAAATTTCTGGCTTAAGAATTTCAGAGATGAAATTTGATAAAGTTAACAGCAGCTCTCATGCTGTCTTCAAAGTTGGCTCAGGAGACATGTTCACACGGGGAATAGGGACATAGCTGGTATATGCAGTTTCAAATGCTCAAAAAGTTTTTAATTTCCCTTTCTTGCATGGGAACTGAAATTAATTTGTTGTTTAGTAAGTTAAAGGGTATTCTGATGGCATAGCTAAGCAGTCTGTGCTTTCATGCCTGAGGGAGATTAATATGGAAATGAAATATTTCATGAAATATGGTTCACTTGATACACTGATCTCAAGGAAACAACTATTTTTATTTGGAATGAGATGGAGTCAGAGGGCTTAACTGTGACAATGAAATGCCAGAGAAAGTCTAAATGGCAAGTACTACTTTATTCAGGCTTTTTCTTTAAAATAGCCTCATGTAGATTCTTTTTCACACTGGCTAATACAGAATTTGTGGCTGAGAAAGTGACGTTACGGAGATAAATATTTGAACAAAAGGCAGTGCTGCAAGAGAATAGCTGCTCATTCAGATAGATGCGTGTTAAAGGGACAGTCTATCCTCTTTTGAGCTATAAGTGCATTAAGATAATTCCAGTAAGAATCACAGCAGCACATCTAACAGATGCCTGTGGGCTATATCAGAGTTTTATTGACAGCCTTTATTTTACAACGGGGTTCTAACCTTGTATCTTGTGATAACATTTCACTATCCATGTATACAGCCTTAGCCACTGTACCCGACCAATACCAAGATTGTCTCAATAAATAAGAGCATCGTGTATCTCATTTTAAGTGCAGGCAGCTGGTGCCACGAAACTACTTTTACAGGAAAGGGATAGTCATCTCTCAAGAACAAGAGTGTCACCTCTTACAAGCAAGAGATTTTTAAATGCACGTTTTCACATCCATCTTGATTTCATTTTCAGTGACGTCAGACACAAGTCTGTGTTTCCAGACATATGCTGTTTCTTTTTCTTTAACTGTGTAATGTGTGAGATTGCATGCTGGTGACCCAGAGGCACCTTATGATTTTACTGTTTTTCTTATTATTTTTAGTAAATGATTCAAATGTTCAGTTCTTGGACCAAGATGATGATGATGATCCAGACACAGAACTGTATCTCACGCAGCCCTTTGCATGTGGAACCGCGTTTGCTGTCAGTGTGCTGGACTCTCTTATGAGCGCAGTAAGCAAGCAAAACCTTTTTCATTCCCTTCTGTCAGACTTATTACGAAAAAGTGTGAAAGCATGGACCCTTTTCCTCAGGTAGGCAGAAGACCCTTTCTTCTTAGATGTCAAGAATTTCAGAATCTAAACTAGGTTATTTTTCCTGTTGGATGTGGAGACCGTAACTGAGATATCTAGGACTTCCATGAGTCCACAATATTACGAGGAAAGAGTCTTATGTCAGGTTTTAAGGATAATGTTTTCCAAAAAAAGTTGTCTCTTCCTTCTGAAATCCAGACACAAATTCAGTGTGTCAGTCCTGTGCTCACCATTCATGTCAGACAGCATCAACTGTGTTTTGAGCTTTTAATTTCCTGTAGCTATGAACAATGCTCTGAGTATGAGCATTGGGGGACACTGATAGAACTATACGAAAGCCATTGTACACATCTCATGAACTCTACTTGTGTGAAGAAAGGTTATCCTCTCTTTTTCATATGAGTTTTCTTGTGAATCAAAACTTCAGCGCATGCCAGAAACTACAGATGGTGGCCTTTGGTTATGTCTACATTAGGACTTTTGGTTTGCAACCATAGTACAGTTCTGAAGCCTCAGTCCTACTCCTTTACATTCTCCTCATATTGTCTAGGTTTTAAGACCAGTCTTGCTCTGCGTGAGCTACACTTCTTTCAGAGTGACCTTAAGCTCTGCTAGATATAGCAAAGATGTAGTCTTTTTAAATTCTAATCATAGGTTTTCTGAGCTCCCTGTGGAATAACGTTCTGTAGTGCTGGGAATCATCTGTTGTAAGTAACACTTTGTATGAGCAGATGGATTTCTTTAGGAGAGCAAAGTCTGACCTTCACGTAAACTCAGAATGAAGCTTTTTGCTTTTAAGAAAAATTCACTGTGATCTTTATTATTTAATATTTTTTTTTGTATTTCATATTTATGTATCTGTATTTTGTATTTTTCCCTGTTATATTGCTCATATGTTCTATCCACAGATGAATAATATCAGTCTACACTGATAAAAGTTTATTCTAATTCATTCTAGGAGTTTTCAATAACCTCAGAAAATGCTTTTTCTTGAAAGCTATTTACAGTGTTTTTCAGATGTGACAAATTCAGAAAGCCTAAGCAAACATAAACTCTGTACCTTCTCTAATTAAAATTAATCTCTACCTATAAAATATTTAGTATTTTCAAATTTTATATGGGAATGATTTAACGTGAAGGTTCCAAATTGTTGTATATCTACTCCCATTATTATCTAAATCAATGTCCCTGAATGTATTTTTCAGTAGAACACTTCCAGAATCTAAAAAAGTAGGGTTAATCGTTCTGGTTACCTCTGGCATCACCACAGAAAGAGAGTGAAATGTTGTGGGCATCACTGCTTTCTTGTGCAAAAGTATGTAATGTAAATAATAGTGAGGCAATGAAAAATATGTAGAGATCATGCCTGTTCAGAAATTTTTATTTGTAACTCACCATATAATCCTCATAATATTTTTAGTTATTGCTAGCTTTTATTAACTTTCATTTTTTGACAACATGCCCCTCTATTTCTGCAATTCCTTTCTTTAACAGTCTTTTTTCCAAACATTTTCACATCTAAGTGGTCATATTGTATGTCAGGGACAGTGCAGCCTGAAGCCAGAGAAATGTGATAACAAGAGTAGAAAATTCTATACTTAGAAAAAATACTAATCAAGAAGACAAGCCAAGGATTCAGTCACTTAGAATTGTTCACCATCCTGTCTTTTCTTTCACCACTTTGCTGATTGGTGGCAGCGTTATTTTCTCTTTTATTCCTCAAAGGCCCAGTAAAGAGTTGGAAAAGTACAATTCTTCCTGACCCTTCAGAAAGGGTAAAATGTGTGAGATGTTTTCCCTTTACTATCCCTATTCTCATGGGAAAGATGTATTCTCCTTTCACTTCTTCTCCAAGGAAAAGAGTGTTTCTCACACAAACTAATCTACTTGCAATATATTATCTGTTTATTTTATTTACTCCAGAGTACACTCTTTTTAGGAACCAGCTTCTATTTGTTCTGTTTAGCTTCAAGCCAGTAAGGGCAAAGTGAACCCAAAATCCTTGCTAAATTTTAAGATCTGCAGTCATGCTTTCATCCTATTAATTGCATAGGAATTCAGTAAGAAGTATATAATTTGCACTGTGCTGGCCTTTGCCAGCTCACTTGGAAACAAGTATATAGTTCACTGTTCAATCCACTTAGTGATTCAGGGGGTTTTACTGACAAATTTTTACACGAAAATTCCAATTTATGATCTCTGTTGGTATCTGTTATGCAAATTCCTTATATAGTCTACAATGCAAATGTACAATGCATGAACTGCTCCTTTAAGAATGAATCTCTTCTCACAGTAGTGGGGTTCTGTAGTAAAACAGGTGTAAGAAAGATTAGAAAGTAGAATAATACCCATGCACATAGTATTATTTCTGACCTATGGATAATCTGAAACATACATATAATGTATGTATATAGAAAAAAAGATACAAAATATATTTAAATAATTCAGTTATTGGATAATCATAATTTTACAGTATAAGTGGTAAACTATTAGTTTATTTTTTTATAGTTTCATTAATAGATAAATAGTGCACTAAACCCTACGCATGAATCACAGATTAGAAAACGTGGTCACTTTCTGACTCAACTCTGAATGCTGAAACTCTTTACTTTCTGCTAGTTTAGAATTATTTCCTATTAGATGACAGTATTAGATATTTTAAGTTTGAAATTTTTATTTCCTTATTTTGTAGATAAAAGGCCTAGTGGAGTTTAGTTTTCAAAATTATATCTACTTTGGACAAAGGCCATCTTTGTCCTTTGCAGCAAAGGCAATGTATTCCGCAAACCCAAGATTCACAGTGTAGCAGCTGAAACATCATTGCTGAGAAGACAGTAACCAGGTCCAAACCTTCATTGTCTTTTTGATGAATTGGTAGCAGTGGTCTCTCCAGGCTTCAGTTTGAGGGCGTCATTGTGGTCTGTGTGAAGACTCTAGGCATAATTCAGGTTTTAACTATGTCAGTGGCTATTGTTAAATTGTTCCAGCTAATCATAATTATGTCTTTGAAGAGACATCTACTGCCATCAGAAACTTGAATCATATATTTTTATTATTTTGTCGTAACATATGCAAACCCAGGGAAAGAATACATGTAGTCTGTTAGTCTCAAGGTGGCACCACTCCTGAAAAGCAGAGCGTGTTCTCATCCCCAAGTGGAATGTGACTAAAAAGTGTGGGACTGGAAGCATCCTTTAGACTATGTGAATGGTGTTTAAAATTATTATCTTCAGCTATAGAAAAGTTACATGACATAGGATAGTCTAAGACAAGCAAATTTTTAAGCAGAAATACTTTTTCCCTTTCTGGTTCTTGTTGAGACAGCTATTCCAGAAAATACTGTGCATGCAAGGAAACCATTTTTATCGGACTTCAGTACCTTAAAGGTTTGAGCACTTGGCCTGAGAGCCAAAGCTTCACTCTTACTCTTTTTGGCACTGAAGCTATGAAAACCACAGAAGTTCTGGCAGGTTGGCATCCCTCCCACACACACCACTGGCAACAGACCTGATGCACTGTCGGAGTGGTGCCATTAGAGGAAAGGATCTCCAGAACCAGATTATACCCTTTAACGTTCATTATCCTGGAATTCATTTCCTAACGCTAGAACTTTAGGTCTTAATTTTTTTCTCTATTACCAAATCTTACTTTTTCTTCAAATAAACAAAAGCACAGAATGGAAGAAAATAGTTAAAACAGTTTAAAATAACTTTTCATTGTATCCCTTTTCTGAGAGTTCTCCCTGAGGGATCCTCACAGTCTTATTTAAACAGAAAGAAGCTCTTCTAACCTGTGATATGGATGTTTTGAAACATAAGATTGTAAGTCTGTTCAGGGGCTAGCAAGCAGCATCTTGTAACTTTAAGTGTCTCAAATGTCTTTAAAGTTTGGACAATACTTTGAGAATTAATAGATTTTCAAACCATGAAATACTGTTATTTATTTTCTGCTGTTGATTCTGTCTCAAAAGCAAGTTTGTTATTGATAGGAGTTACTGATGTTAGCTCAGTTATTCCTCAGGTTTGGGTATATATTATTTCTCCAACTGAAAAAAAAATAATTAAGATACTTGTTTGAAAGTGAGGTTAAAAGCTGCATGCAGTGGAGAAGGAGTCTTCTTAAAGGAAATCCATACAAAATCACTAGCAAAAACAAAAAAAGGAAGATATTACTTGGAAAATGACAATTTTAGCGTTATTATAAATGAAAGGCAAAGCTCTATTAAAGTTAAAGCAATATTATTAAAAGATGTGCTAATTTTCAGTTACATTTTCTGTAGAAGACCAATTAGTTTAAAAGGCTTGACAACATTAACTGCAAAACATAAGCAGTCTGGTAATTATACTTTAAAAAATGATTGAACAAATGGGAAAGCATCCCCAAAATATCTGAAAGAGCAGCACTACAGTTCCAGAGCATGGGCTAGGTGGCACTGCTAGCTCAGATATCTGTGTCATAATTTCCTTGCTATTTACCCAGTTTCAGTGTCTATGATGCATTTCCTTTTTTTTATGTTTAGTCTACACCTATTTCATATTCTCATTCCAGGGGCCGACTAAAGCAATGTCATACAGATGTCCAGGGTTTGTTTAATGACAGCAGCAAACAAGTATTTCATCAGTTATGATTTTATATTAAACAAAAGGAATTCTGTGCCATCACTGGGAAGTGCCTTGTTACTTTAAATACAACAGCACCTTTCCAAAGACATTCTGTAGATCAGTTTCTTACAAGTACTGGCATATCCAGGCCATGTACCCTCCCATAGAGCAAGTAGAAGATCACTCTCAAATTAATTTCAGTGTATTATTATTCCACAGGAAATGGATATCAGCTAGTTCAGCTTTTCAGTGTCCCCCCAGTTCCAAACTGGCAAGAGGTAATAAGAGGAGTCTGATTTTTGTGACAATCAAAAGCACGGATAGACAGGTTTTTCCTGAGGAGTTTTAAAGACATTAGTACAGGAGGAAGAGACACTATTTAGCAGATGGTGACAAGTTACAGCTTCCTATTCACCCATCTTTTCTCGCTTATGGTTGGACATTTTCTGGTCAGATGCAATGCTGGAGCAGTTTGTCCTGAAATTTGGAACCTTTTCTCTCACTGATGACATAAAAAACCCCAAAACCCATCACTTGACTACACTCATCCAGCTGATTAAATGGTGACATCCACATCCATCATGGTGTGAAACCCAAATTAAGCCACTGTTCCAAGATAAATGTTGCCTCCTTTGCTAGTACATGTCTTTGCTTTGCCTTAACATTTGTATAGCAGTGGGAAGCCTTTCTCTGGTGACAGCATTATGTTCCATCAACAGTAGACCTGGTTCTTTTTTCATTTGCATCTTGGATTCTGGCTATTGCTATAATTTGAATTACAGAATAGAGAGAGAAAGGGTTGGAAATCAGTGAAGGCTTGCATATTTTACTCCTAAAGGGTAATGAAATTATTAGTACTATTTTAGACTTTTGCATGTTTTACCAGTCACTGCAAGTTAGCAGTCTATAAAATAGGCTATTTTAAAAGAACTAGAATTCATCAGTCTCAGAGCAAGTGATCATTTCTTACCATAACTGGCCTCATTTTAAAACAGATATGAAAAAAACACCAGTAAAGATACGCTTTTACTTTTGTTTCATGTTCTTCTGTGTTGATTTATAGATGTAAAACTGAGAACAGCAGTTTTGAATAATACTAAATATCACTACTTAGAGAAGAAAAGGAATCAAAAGTCCATAATAAAAGAGTGGGGAAGGCATGAGAAAAGACCCTATTGTAGAAAATGTTATGCTTTTGTCAAGATGTGTGCTTAGGGTGCCATATAGAATATATTCTTATATATATTATATAAGAATATATATAATGTATGTATTATAAGAATATATTGAAGCACATTTTTCCGAGGGCTTCTACAATTGAAGTTCCTCTAACTTCTAGATCTGGCAGAATTGTCTTTATATCCATGAAACTGGTGTCAAGCAACATTGCTGCCTAACCGCAGGAGCAAAGGAATTGTGCTCATTATTTTAGTTCTGAGTGCTATATAGCACATGCTGACAAAGCAAAGCAAAGAGACTCACTTTAGTGCTTTTTTTTTTTTTTTTTTCCTTTGGATTCTGAGTACTTCCATGTTTGAAAAGTATAGCACAGTCGGAAGAGTTGCCAAAAAGAGCAACTCTGATTCTCACCTCAGGGACATCAAGGAAGAAGTAATTGAAGAATAAACAATCATGCCTGGATGTCTTCTCTCTCTCACCATGGCAATTCCTATTAAACATCATGTAATTGCTCCAGACTTACATTCCTGAAAGGGGTCACATTGATTTTTCTGTATGTTAAGAAAGGTTTGAGTATTGCACTTGAATTGTTACAGTGCATCCACATATGTAAGAGCTGATTTGAGATTGTTTTACACTATCTGAATCTTCCTGAATCCCTGTTTATGTCAGATTACTCTTTAAAGTACTCTTTGTATTTAAAATATGTAGTGCCTTACCCAAGCTAATTTAAAATAATTGGAACTGATGAGATGCAAATATTTGCTTTAGGGCATATATAACAATAACAATATGTTCCTCTCATTTTAATTGAGTCAACAGGTGAATGGCACAATAGCCTATGTAAATAAGCAGAGAAGCTTGAAGTTATTAAACTTCAGTGTAACAATGAAAAACATTGGCACATAGAATTTGTTTTCTTCTGTTTTATCTGTTGTCTCAAGCAAACAATGAAACTGAAATTTCATTATACAAAGAAAGAATATCAAAGTAACATGGACAGGAAGACAGTTCTGCTTTTTGATCTCAGAATAAAATATTTCAACCTGTACCTCAGTTTACCCATGTATTAAATACAATTACATTATATGGATAGACCAATGAATTTCATTGAAAAGTATTATTTAAAAATTATTCTCTTTGAATAACAAGCTCTGTTTGAGAATTCATTTCATTCATTTTTACTTGGTTAGATTAAAGACATTTGTTCCAAGTTCTAAATTCAACAGAAGTCACAGATCCAGTAATGTCAATTCTGTGTATTTTACAGTGAGCTCATTTTCTCCTTGTATGTCTCCCACACTTGCAAAGCTTCTGAAAACACAGACATTAGTGGCATTATAAGTGATGGTGTCTCCTCTTTTTGTTCAACATTTTTTTTTCCCAGTACAATGCACTGCAGATATTTAACTGAGTATATCTGAACTATACCAGTATACTTTTAAGTGAACTTGAAAGTCATTCATCTGGATTTAAATTAATATTTTACATACCCATTGTTTGCCTGACAGACCAGCAATGCTACAGATGCTGGCAAAATGTCAGTGTGGAGTAAATCTTCCCTAATAAACCACACTTACCCTATACCCTAGAGTTTTTTAAAAGGACCACCAGGATCCCAAACTCATCATACATTTATCTGGAATGAACTCAAGATGTTTAATTGATACATGCTTATGTCTGAACACTGTCAAGTCTCGTAATAAGATGTTTAGTACAATACATCGGTTAGACTGCTAGAGTCCAGCCACAGTAATAAGTAATGACATTTGCAGCACAAAGGCAGCTCCCCAACGAATTGGTGACAAGAGTAAAAAGGCAATCTAGCCTGTGTAAGCTTTAAATGTGGTCTGAATTTTACAATTGCATGTCCTAAAGCCCATTATTAGACATGAAGGCGATGAGAAGGAAAGCAGTCATTGCATCATTACTAACACCAATTATAGGAAACATAAATCATTCAAATTTTTGTACTTTAATAAAAATCAGCCTGAATTGGTGTTTAGAAGGAAGGATCTAGTATAGAAGCCTAATGGGATAGAAGAAAATAGAGTAATTGGAAGCTGCTGTCTTTTCACTTTCTATATAAAATTATTTGAAGAGACAGCCAAGAACTTTAAACAGCAGAAACCCGGAAAAGTTGTAATTTGGATGTCTTCAGTTGTGACTTTAATGGTGTTTGCTTAAAGAGCTTTCTTTTATCTCTGCAGACATACTTCAATGACAATATCCTCACACTGATACGGACATTGGTAACAGGAGGAGCCACACCAGAGCTGGAAGCACTGATTGCTGAGGAAAATGCATTGAGAGGAGGTTACAGCACGCCCCAGACACTTGCAAACAGGGACAGGTGTCGAGTTGCTCAGTTGGCTTTGTATGATGGGCCGTTTGCAGACCTAGGGGTAAGATCATGAGGGAAATGTAGGACCAAGGCTGGTCTGCACCATATTTGCTTTCTCTCAAACCGAGTGAAAAATCTATCTTAATAAGCCTATAATTTCTGTAATTTAATAGAGCTTTTGGATTGTTTAACAATTTACAGCACAGGGTGCTAGCTTTGCTCTTAACCTTTTTAAGAAGCTATATGACTGCCCGGTGTCCTTACCTGCATATTTCATATAGAAAATCCTGTAGCTCTTCTTTGTCAGCTAAAGAGATGGATAAACTGATTTCGATGATATAACTATTCTAACAATAATGCATTGTAAATGTAAGTAATATATATATTTTTGTTGGGCTTTGATAAGCTTATAGTGTTTTCATGGAGCTTACATTTCTTAAAATATGCTTATTAGCTTGAAAACAAAGCTATAAGTTTTGTTTTCTGCTGTTGCTGGATGAATGAAAATTCATGTGAAATCCTAATTTTTCCTAAGAGTTAAGTAGAAAAACAAAATCCAAAACAAAACAAAAAATTAAAAACCAATCCCAAATAGACAAATGATCTTTTTAAAACAGTGCAATTGGATAAAGAAATATCTAGAATTTTTTTCTAGACCACCTTTTTAAATCTTGAGGTGAATCCCAAAGCACACTTCGCTTTGATGATGATGTAGGATTTGCTATTTCTTGAATTAACCTTGTGTTCACCAGCTCTGTTCAAAAAGAATGGAGCAATCTTCTTCACAAAAATGACAGGGAATCTCAGTTTAAGGATTAAGGGCAGCAAGAGTACACAGATAGAAGCAAACAGCCTTTCATTTCATGTAGAAGTCCAATCATAGCTAAGGCTAACAGCTCATCAAAACACTTGGGCATGCAGCATAACATTTCCAGAAATAAAACAAGCAATACCAATCCTTTCAAATCCTTTCACCAGAGCCTCAATTGCACTACATCTGTGAGGGCAGAATGCATTAACACTCTATTACTTAAGAATCACTCTTTGAGATACATGAATGATCAAATCTAAACTTTTTTTTTGCTAATCAAAACATTTTATGTTATTTATGACAAATGGCATACATCTCATCTTTATTTTACAGAGGGAGATATTTTGTTACCCTTTTAACCCCACAGAACTCTAATTTCTGTTGTGCTCCCTGGTGAATTTTTTTGTCTGGATGACAGTATGGCTGCTGCCAAGAAAGGGTCAAAGATACTAACCATTTTGATACCACAGTTAATGTAACTTGTAGAATATGCATTGTCTGGTACCAAAATTTATATTTCCAGCCTAAAGCAAATCACTCCTTACAATTTAGCATCATTTCAGGCACCAAGGCTCTCTTAAATAATGATCACTTTACATAGTTACTTATTTGAAATAAAATATTTAGATCATTCATTTCCTTGGATAAAAGGTTCTCATTTGAGACAAACAACAGATTATTTATATATTGTCCTTTTTTTATAAGTTCATATTGGAAAACCTGATCCCCAACGTTGTGCTAACAGAAAGGAAAGAAAGTAAATGTGCTGATCTGTTGTTTTTTTTAATCTCTCCCCTCATTCTCCTAGGATGGAGGTTGTTATGGAGATCTATTTTGTAAAGCACTGAAAACATACAATATGCTTTGCTTTGGAATTTATCGATTAAGGGATGCACATCTAAGTACTCCCAGCCAATGCACTAAACGGTAAGTCCAGTCTTCTAGAACATCTCAGCTTTACTGTTCTTCAGTCTTCTCAGCAAGGAAGATCCCAAGGCCTGTCATAAATCTAAAAAAGACCTTTCTCCATTTTTGGCATAAGTTTGCCACAATAGCTAATTCTTTGAGGCCTTCACAATGACTCTTTAGCTGACTTTAAATTATAAGCTGGATATCACAGTATAAATTTTAGCTAATTTTATTCAAAAAATTTTTAATTAAATTTTCAAATTTTATCATTATCATGTTTGCTTTATGATGATCCACTGTTTGCGTGCAAGAAAAGGACTTCCATTTCCTGATATCAATCAACTGTAAATCAGAGGATAATAATTCAAATTATAGTAGCTAGTCTTTTTTCTGAATGCTCAAAAATACTCCTTTGGGCTTCCCATCAATACTATCTGTATCTAATCATAATTTCTTCCAGTAAGTGGAAATCCTTCCCTTGGTAGACTCCATTTTTACTTCAGGAGCACCAAGCCTGATCCTAGTGCTTTAAATAGAGCAGACACATTTCCATCTTTGCAAACTGAAGGTCATTTAGTAGCTTGCTTGAAATGTGTCTTAATTAAGTGCCTTCTAGAAATACACACACAGACCCATACCAGAAGTATCACAAATCTACCATCTGTTACTGTTTCATGCTGTACAAAAAGCATCATTATTGGGTGAACATGGCAACAAACAACCCTGAAGCCCACCAAAGTGGTTTCTTCTGTAAGGCTTTGGACAAATTGGGTAGAAAAAATGATTTGCAGTTTGGATTCACACTACATTTGCTATAGTTCAGTTATTTGTTGGATTATTAAGGGAATTCTGTCCCTGAAGCAGCTAAGCAGATTTCTTATGAGCACAGAATTAATTTGAAAATTAATTTGAAAAGAAGTTTTAAGCTTTGTGTTCAATTTTTCATTTCTTGCTTGGACAGAAAATACCTATTGCCTTCCTCAAGTATGTTTTTCATGTGCATGATAAAATTTAGCAGCTGCTCTATAAGCCCTTCCTACCCTGAAAGGGCATTAGGTGAAGAATTAGGAAATTCTTGAAATTGAGTGACTTTTTATTTCAGATCTGGGATTTATACTAAGCAATGTTAGACTCTTGGATGTTCAGATTTCTCTTTATAAATGCTCTTTGAGGCATGAATGTATATATGGAATGGATAAGCAACATTAACCTCACTACAGATTTACTGATATATTTTCTTTAACTTGTTTTATCTAGAGTCACGATCCAAACAAATAATTGTAACCCTTGCTCTATTGACAGTACTTAAATATTTAATAACTATATATATTAAATACGTATTTAAATAGAACTGCATATAAAATCCCTGTCTCCTTGCTTTCAGTCATTCTTTAAAATACTGTTTCTGGTGGGTATGTTACAGGTTTTTGTCAATATGTAAATCTATTTGCTAGAGTCATTGCATTATGGTGCAGCTAGAGAAAGGAGAATGGTTTGCATGGTGTCTTCTCTGAAAAATCATTATGTGATTCACTTGAAGCACATCCTCCTCAGACATTATGTCTTTCCAACAGAAAACATGCAAAAAGTAACAGCTGATGTAAAAAGGTCCTAAATCATAATGGAAGTTACGTGAGCTACAACTAGGTACAAACTGCAGGAAACAAATGCAAAACTCTGGCTAAATCTCATGAGCTAACATCTCTAGAAGAAATTGTTTAAAATAAATCTAAACCTGTTTTCTCTTTTTTTCTTTATTTCTTTTTTTTCCAGTTATGTTATCACAAACCCACCATATGAATTTGAGCTTGTGCCGACAGACTTGATCTTCTGTTTGATGCAATTTGACCACAATGCTGGCCAGTCCCGAGCCAGTCTTTCTCATTCCTCCCATTCCTCCTATTCTTCCAGCAAGAAGAGCTCATCAGTTCACTCTATCCCATCCACAGCAAATCGACCGAACCGCACCAAGACCAGGGATTCCCGGGAAAAACAGAAGTATGTGCAGGAAGATAGACTTTGATATGTGTATCTACTCCCACTGTGTGTGAAACTTGCATTCACCACCCATTCTCCCCAGTTAATGTTTCCAGCAGTGATGTTCCCTGTTTTCCCATGGAGTTTTCCCTTTTTGTACACATATTTTGCATATGTATGACAGTGTGCATGTGATTGTCATTTTTATTTCACCACCATAAAACCCTTAAGCACAACAGCAACAAAGCAGACGGACCAAAAGTTATTTATGATGCTAGGGGAGAATAAAAAAGAATTCCAAACCCATAGGCACACTGAAAACATAAATAACTCACTGCAGTTACTCTACATAGACAAAAATAGAGAATATTTAACATGAACACTTGCTCTTGATGTCCGAGATCCACAAAGAAAGTAATTTAGTGCAGAAGTGTTGATGTATGTTGAGGTATGGGGTTTTTTATATTCATATTTAGAGGAGCTGATACATTTATTTTAAGCTTATAAAACTAATGGAAAAAAAAGAAAACCTGCAAAAAAAAAATCCCTACTGATTTTTCACTCTCAAAGCATATATTATATAGGGCTTACACTCTTTGTATAGATTATTGCTACACACCTGCTTTATACCAAAGCAATATCAGGGACTTTTCTGCTTGTTTAAGGATTTTCTCTAAAATACTAGCCCTTTGGAGATAGCGTGTTTTCCCTTTAACACTTATATTGTCTGGGCATGAAGTTTTAAAACTCCAATGGTTTAATTTAAGTTTAGAAAGAGTCTAATTGCATATTAAATTATTATTCTGTCTATTTATACTGCCACATGAATAGCTATATTTTCTTTCACTTTTGACATTTGGGATAAAAAGCCATATGTATCATAAATATTGGATGTAAGTCATTAAAAACTGCCTTCCTGGGACTTTTACGTCTTTAAAAGGTGAATTAGTCACCTTATGTACAGAATAAATAATGTTCAGAAAAGAGCAAGCATTTTTCTATGCTTACTTATCAGATCTCGAGGGATTTTGTTCCTTTCCCCAGATGGTAGTTTAACTTTTCCAAGTTAGAGTGCTGGTATAAATCTTCCAATAAAAGTCCTAATATGTTAAGATCCTCCAAAATCTTGCTGCATGTTCTACCTGTTTTTTTTCCAACAGGTGCATGCCAATTTGCAGGAATACAGGGGGAAACAACTGAGTGCCTTTAAGTCTCTCCCATTTGAGAAGAAAAGGTGCTGTGCCCAAGACAGCTAATGAGGAGAACAAGAGGGCTGGATTGGAAATATTCACTGTGCTGAGGCGTCATGTTCTACACACTTGTCTGAATTTAGTTCTTGCAAATTATCACCAATGGCACATGTAGCCAAAAGAAATTGTGTCAGGGAACTAAATAAAGTAGTGGAAAGGAACCTACTGTAGACAGCCATAGAAATTATACTTCAGGCTTGCTTTTATTTTTTGTTTTTATTTAAATTTCAGAAGCCTTTTGATATACAACTAGTTCTAGGTATATGGAGAGTTTCTTAGAGTAGGAAGGGCAGTAACACATCCTCTTCCCTGGCTACCCAGCAAGAAAGCATGCAGACACAAAATAAATATTTGGATTTGGAATGATTAGCATTGTAACTGCCAACTCAGACAAGGTGCTTTTATGGTTAGTATTGTTTTCTACCTTCCCCTTCCCCAAGCATGATAATTTTGAAAATTTGCTTGCTGTGTGAATTGACAATGAAGCCAAGCACTTTTACTGACAAAACCTGGAACCATGTAAGTGGGCTACAGAGAATACCACCACCGTGCAGTGCTAACCATAATGATTGGAATACAGTATATATGTGTGTGTGTGCATTCAAATGCAGCTGTAAGTCCAATCAGTGAAATACGTTGCAAATTATGGATGCTCCCCTACAAATGAGGCTATTACAGTTGCTCTTCATCATAAAGAAAAATTCATGTGTTTCTTTTTTCTAAGAAAGTGATGTTTTGCCCTGAGAATATTTATTACTTCAAGGATGTGCCAGTTAAAGTGCTCAACCAGAAATATGACAGTTTAAAAGCATTGTAAAACTTACATAGCTTACTTCTTTTTCTAAAGTGCAACAAGGATGAATAGAATGGGCCAAGGTATGAAAATTAATGGTTCTGCATGACCTAGCAACTGCTGTGGGTTTCCTTCTATAACTTTGTCCTTGTGAAAACTTGTGAAATTAAAAAAAAAATAGTTACAAACTTTATTCAGTTATTGGTTTGTTTGTTTGGTTGGTTGTTTTGTTGGTTTTCCTTTGCCTTTTTTTCCCTCCAAACCAAAAGTAAAACTGGCTGCTGCTGCTGCTGCTGTTGCTCAACCCTGTTTTATTTTTTATCCTCTCATCTGCTTGCCTTTCTAAATGCACGTGTCCTTTTGTAAACACCCAGGTTCCTGCTCAGTGAAGATGCCTTTCCTGGTGCAGACATTAAATTCCCATTCCTCATTCCAATTTCTTTCCTCTCTTCCCCTCCCTACTCTCCTATCCCTTGTGTATGTACATGAGCATCTTTTTATGTTGGCAATATTTATTGAAGATAGTCAAGAGCAGTTATGCATTTTGGAAGAATGTTAATGGCTTTGACACCAAAATGCTTTTCCATTAATGTTTTATCTGGTTTCCATTTAGCAGAGAAAGGAAGGGTGTTAATATGAAGCCACTTGTCACATCATACATAATGTTTTTATCAAAAAAAATAGTATTTGTGTAATTGTGCAGCTCAAATAGAAAAAATATAAACAGCGTGCATTAGAGAAGCAACTTCTCTACTTTATGAGCAGCAGAAGAGGAATATCTAATATGGATGCAAATCTGAATTCTTCAAAATATATTGAAGTCCAGTTCACCTTTGTCCTAAAGTTAGAATTCTATAAGTTTTGCCTTTCAGTTATATCGTGCAATTTCCACTGCTGACTCTAGTCAGATTGATCAAATAGCTTATTACAGTGATAAAGATTTTCTGATAGAGTTATACTAATGCAACTGGGAGGCTGGTCATTACAAGTAGAGAAATGCTTAAATCAACTATGTTTTGTTGGGTTTTATACTGAAAAGTAAGAGGAAATCTCCTGTCCTATTCCAAGTCAGACATCCCTAGTAGAATGGTTAGTTTCTGAAAGGAAGGAAATATCACCAATGTCAAGATGTTTTAGAGCTTTAAATGGAGGTCCTGCCATTTATATCGGTCCCAGCAGAGTTTCAACATTGGAAACGACGTTCTTAGTGAGCTTAAGTGTTGACACAAAACTGTCTGCAGGTTCTTGGCATGGGTTCCCACTGACTTAAACAGAGAGTTAGGCATTTTCTAATGAAATTCCATTGTCCAAAGTAAGAATTTTCTGAGTTTAAAAAATAAAAAATCACTAAGAGCAAGTGCAGAACAGCACTTTTGTCACAAAACTTTAGTCGCCTTGGAGCAAGATAAAGACCTTCGCAGAAAGTAAGAATAGTTCCTTGTCTCTCTCCCTGCAAATGTAAAATACTCATCTGCCAAACAAAGAGTTGCTGAGCAGGTGGGGGGAGAAACTTTCCCTTTTTTCTCATGCAGGAACAAATTGCATGGGAGAATTTTCAGCTTAGTTATAAACAAGCTCTCTGCATGGAGGGAGGGGATCCACAAACATACATATAGACTAATTTGAAACTGCAAGTGTCACAAAAGAGAAAAAATGTGTGTTTTAAACAATGGTAAGGTAATCTGAGATTATAGTGAGAATAGAAATTTAGTAAAATCTTTGTGTTAGCTAGTACCTTAGTTTGTGTTAGCTAGTACTGTCTTTGCCTCTGCTCAGAAGAGAGGGTGTTTCAAAGTGATGTTTGTTCAAAGTTGTTACTTAGTTCAGAATTAATGACAGAAATTTTAAAGAATCAGACTGTTGGAGATAATTGCTGGCATCTTACCCATGTCAAAGAAATCTATATTTTGATCATTTTACTTTAATTATTTATATCCTTTTTTATGCTGCAGGAAGAGTCTTATACAAAATTGTTAATTTTTATTTATTTGTAATAAGAGCATGAAGCCTTTAGAACCTTCGTGGATGCACTGGCATGCTGATATCCCATTAAAACACCAGTGTTGGAGAGGAAAGTAAATGTTTTCTGCTTTCTGATGCACTTAGCTGTTCCATCATTTCTCAGGTGATGCTGTCAAAAACAAACCTGCCAAATAGTGTAGGGAGATCAGGGACTCTCTTCAATAGCTCTTAAAAAAAACCTATGCCTATTATCTCTATTATATAGAAACATATATGATAAGGATCAATATGCATAGTCCAAAAGGGAGAGAAATAGGAACGTGACAGAGTACTCAAAAGAGCTTGGTGGATATAACAATATAGAAAGACTTAAATAAACTAGGTACTCTAGCCTTTAGAGCAGTTCAAAAAACCCCTTTTTTAAGATAAGTAAAAATCTGTGCTAAAACTCTGGAAGACATATCACAGTCAGATTGTGAGCATAGCATAAAAGAATGGAAAGTGTAAGACATTCAAGAAGGACATTAGTAACTTGGAGCAGAATATATTAGTGGTCAAGAGTAAAGAGGAGGAGCGTTAAGTTTACATTTCAAAGGTAAGTATAGAGGTTGATAAACTTCCACAGGAAATTCATTGTTATGTGGTCAAAGACAATTTTAACAGCAGAAAGGAACAGGAAAGGTATAAAACTGTGTCCAACCATTTGATACTGGAGATGCTCGTGCTTAGATCAAAGTTTCGGCACTGGCAAAAAGAAATCTAAACAGCAGAAGAAATTAGAATTTACCAGTTTCTGCAAATATTATTAATGTTCTGTATTTATTGCTTGCCAGCTAAATGCAAAAAGAGATGCAATGGTGTCTTTTAAAAGATGAGCTCCCCATATATATGAGTTTTATTGTAAAGATTAACATATAAATAATTAGCTTGTTTTGAAAATTTTAGGGAAAGCAGGGTGTTTTGAAATGCTTTTACACTGGCTGCTGAGAAACACAATGCAGTTATGATCCTTAGCACTCAAGTAGTTCTCCCCTTTCTTGCTATGACATTGAACTAACATGCACCAAGTTCTGTTTGTAAGGAAAGTTTGTGCACCATGTGTTAAAAAAGAAGTTCGCGGTGCTTAACTTGTCTCAAAATCATTTTAAGCATAAACCATTAGAAAACTGTTAGTTTGAAATTGTTTATGTGATCTCGCAAGGCTTTTAAAACATGATAACCATCACACTTTACACCTCTCTGAAAGGTTAGTTTAATCGTAGATCACATAAAATTGGTTTCCACAAATGCATAATGGTTCATGTGTCACACTTGAACTAAATGGTTTTTTAAATGGAGCTGAAATTATTTTGATGTGTACACATTCCCAGATTTTTTTTTCCGACAACCTTTCTTAAACTGGCCCCCATCAGGAATCATTCCCTTAAAGTCTCATTAATAATTCAGATGTTCTGATTACTTTAAAAGATCTATGGAATTGAGGCTTCTTTTTTTTTTTTTTTTTTTTAACTGCTTGACAAAAAGATAAATGAATGTAGAAAGAAGCAGTAGGAGTCTGGCAAGCTGTAGATCATCTCTGAACAGATTGTAACTTTATCATTCTGTCAGGAAGAATAATTTAAAGCACTTAATCAGTTAGCTTCAGTGTGCAGGATGTAACATTATGAATTCCTATCGTCCAATCTGTTCAAATCAAAGGGAACTTAATTATAGTAGGTAAGAGAGAGAGGGAGATGGGAGATTGAACATCGTTCAGACTCAGGCAACTTTAAGGGGGTAGGGAATTATTCAACCTGATCGCAAATGAGTAGGATTTTTTAAACAGAAGTAAAAACCATTTTAAAAATGTCAAGAAAAACAGTAGAGTATTCCTGTTTGTCTTCAGTAATAAGCCACTAATGAGTAATATAATTCCTTTTTCTTCAATTTGTTTTTTAAAAAAGTGTAAGAACAGGTAACAAATAGATTGGGGGAAAAAAAAAGCTGGATTAAATGCTCATGAGTTTGGGGTTTGTTGTTGTGGGATGGGGGTGCTGCATGTATATTCTTGAAATCCATATCAAGTGTAAGTGTTTAAATGGGATATTCACAAAAGTGACTGAGAAGTCCAGTAATTCTGGAAATTAAGCTACCTCTTGAGAGGTTCTAACTCCAAAGCTGGTTGCTTATTTTTGTTCAGTTATGCCCAGGTATTTGTCCTTTATTCTTCCCAGTCTTTCAGTTTCTTTTCTCTCTTTTACCTCCTAAGCTTTTGTGCTTGATCCTTTAGTTTCCTAGGTGGATTTTGCTTTGCTTATTTTTAATCTTTTATTTATTAAAAAATTAGTATTTCTTCCACTCTTGCCCTGATTCCAGATACTGCAGCATTTCAGTGGTTTGCACAAGTAGCAATTTGTATTATGTAAGCGCGACACTAAAGCTTCTCCAGCATTTTGGGGTTCCCCATTGGAATGAGAAGTAGTGCATACATGTAAGAGCAGCAGCTCTGATGTGGTACACTTTAAATCTTGCATATAATAATGAAAATGCCCAAAAACATAAGTGTCCACTGCTCTGCCCTCCCACCTCTGGAATATGGGGAAGGAGGACAAGACTGGAGACCCCTGTTCACAAATGCTTGTCAAAGCACAAGCTGCTGGATGGCCATAAGCCACTCTTTAGATCAGGAGTTTCAAAGTCTTTGAATACAGCTATCTTATAAAGTTGCACTCCTGTAACCGAGAAATTAACAGAAGGAGTTGTTTTCTAAAGGGTTTAATAAAATTATTTTTATTTTTTCCCTTTGTGAATTTTAAAGAGATTTTGTCCATACCCTCATATGAACAGTGCAATATGATGCTTACAATGACAAACAGCTAGGGAATGGCTGCAATGCTGCAGCCTCTCAGCATCCTCACTCCCTCCCATATTGCTCCCATCCCACCTTAAAGCGTACCATAAAATTCCTCCTGTGTTCGTGGAGGCAGACACTGCCCAAAGACAAAAAAGAAAAGCTTCCTCTAATCTTCAAGTCCTGTTTCCTTTGCCTTGCTGTCCACCTATGACAACCAATCCATGCATGATTAGCTGGAGCCCCTACTAGAATCACCTGCTGCACCTGGTGTATTCCATACACCTTCTTAAACTGTGGAGTTCAGCAGTGCCCAAGCACCTATGTTTCGAAGTAGCGATATAAATCCCACCCTGTGTAGGAAGGCTGCCATCTGGCAGCATGAATACAAGTCTTTTTTATTCTAGCACCAACTGCAGAAAGCTCTTTTTATTCTCCTGCATGATTTCTGAGACAGTAATAGTGACCATCCAGAGGTTGAAATGGTTCAGAGAAGTGTCTGTCTCTTTAGGTGCTTCTCTGTGTATAGACTCACATGCTCTTTTCTGCATTACCCTTATCCCAGCTGCTCTCCCTGGCTTCTCAGTATCATTTTTTCAATAAATGAGTCAGAGGGTTTTCACCTAAGCATGGGATAAAAAAAGATCCAACAAGCAAAATAGCATATTGGCAGTTTTCTTTAGTTTCTATTGTCAAATCTGCAAACGTCATCTTCCTTTCATGAACAGTATTTTCAGAGGTATTAATCTAATGCTGTACTGCTAATAATTAGTCAATCACCTTCTGCTGATCTCTTCTCTATAAACTTTACTGACTGCTCCCCCTATTTTTTTTTTAATGTTTATGTGTATATGTAGTTCACTAATTAAAACTTTCATTTTCCCTCCTTATTCTGTCTCTACCTGTTTCGCTCCTTAGCAGAAAAGAAATGGTTTACAGATGAGCCGGATAATGCCTATCCCAGAAACATTCAAATCAAGCCCATGAGCACTCACATGGCCAATCAGATCAATCAATATAAATCAACAAGCAGCTTGATACCACCAATCCGAGAAGTTGAAGATGAATGTTGACTCCTTCGAGGCCAGAACTATTTTTTTAAAGCCTGACAAACTTCATGAATGGTGATGTGACATTTATTCCTCTTACATGCTGAACCACTGATGGAGAAGTTAAGAAGGGCAAGCTTAATGGGAAAATGAAGTAGACAGATCTTTGTTTGTCTGCCTTTAATATTGCTTCCACATATTTTGGAAACTATTTCATTTATAAATGAACATAATCAAAACTAGTCATGTATAGCCTCTAGCATTTTAAATTATTTTTATTTATTAGAAAAAAATATATTTTTTTCTTTTTTTTCATTGTCAAGTATTTTCCCTTAAAAAAACCTGCATGTGTGGCCAGACTCCTAAGAATTAAAACAAACGAACAAACAAAAAAAGAAACAAGAAACCCTCGGTCTTTGGCTTAAAGGAGAATGATGGTCACAGTTACAAGGATGTGTAATAAGGGAGACAAATGATATATTTACAAAAAGGGAAAAAAAAAAAGGTCCAACTTGTATTTTAGTAAATCAAAAAAAAAAAAAAAAAAAAAAAAAAAAAAAAAAAAAAAAAAAAAAAAAAAAAAAAAAAAAAAAAAAAAAAAAAAAAAAAAAAAAAAAATAAAATTTAAAAAAAAAAAAAAAAAAAAAAAAAAAAAAAAAAAAGAAAGAAAACACCCTACAACAACTCACCAAAATGTTTCTTTACTGGAAGATGTGTATTTTGTTCAGCATCAACACCAGCTCTTAATAAACTGAACTTATTTATTTTCAAAGTTGAAAGTCATATTTTTGTACATGTAACATTCTTCTGAAATATTCTTTGTTTTATTAACATACATAGATCATCTTAATTGCCAGTTATGTGAGGGTCCAAGAACCTCCCCCCCCACACACTGCGCCCTGCCCTGTCTCGCACACACACACACACACACACACACAGAAACCCAGCATCCTCAGTAACTTTCTGTAACACTAGCATAGGGAATGCCACTGCCCTAAACCAAGGGCCATGTAGATAAGGTGCACTTGCTATAAATGGCAAATCTGGCAATTTCACTTCACTTCCCATTAGCCATCAGCAGTTGCTAATTTCAGGAAAGCAGGTTTGGCAATTCTTCTTTTGCCATGTATTACTGTGCTTTCATCCAGACTGCATAAAACGCAGCATGGAAGCGTAAGTTATAAATTGTCTCGTCTACCATATTTTGTTACTTCTTTACTTCAAAAGTGCTGATGGCCTTTCATTGGTCTGATTTGGTTCAAATTCTTCCCGATACATATAGAGATTTAGCTCCAGCCCTTTGCACTTTGGTTAACGCATACTTTAGTAAAGGACACACTGAATCTCCTTTTGGGGAATTGAGATCAGGATAAGAACTGGTTTAGCCTCAGCTCTATGATCTTGCAACATGCTGCCCTCAGTTCATTCTTGCACCAAGTAACATCCTATTTTAGCAGCTGATTTTTTTGGTTTTGCTTCCGCCCCCCCGCCCCCATAATTTATTTTCACTTTGCTGGGACACCACACATAAAAGTACAGTAATAACCAAATCAAAATAATAAAAGTAATGAATGTATTTATTTATTATGATAACATGCAAAAGGCCTTTGATGGGTGCCTTTTGTGTCACCAGTTTCACAGAGTTGCCAACAAGCTTTATAGCCATCAGACAAAAATGTGATGTTTCATATCTGTGCGGCAGTACCTATCCACCCAAGCATTTATGTTCTAAATGATTTAGTAACTCTCTCTATCCCAAAGAAGCAACATCTGAAACAATTGTATGAAGAAAAACAAAAAGAAAAGGCTGTGCTAATAAGGAAACAAAAAACAAAAACCCGAAACAGAGTCATCAGGAAAGGCAGATTTTCATTGTGCAAGTTAACTTTAGGCTTTGTAATTTTGCAGAATTGTTAAACACCACAATAAAACATACTGAGGTATTTTTATCAGTAGAGAAATATCAGCGAATAAAAAAATACAAAGCAGATGATGAATTTATTGTGAAAACAATGATGTCCACTATGTAATCCAACATTTAAGCCAATCTATTTCAGCTTTAATGTTTGTCCACTGGCTGCAGTACAAGTATAACCATACTAACACCTAATAGGCTTTATTCTGGAGTGACTTCTTGGACTGTGACTATTTTGTTGTTACATTTTGTAGAATAGCTATTTAAAGACAATTATAAGAATTATTAATACAGTATCTGTAAAATTGGATTGTTTAAAATATTTCAATCTCCTACAAAGTAAAAAAACAGTTCAAGCAGTTTTTCATAATTTAGACCATGTTTAACACATTTCACAGTCCCCAAAAGAGAAGATAATTCCAGTGAGATCTTCCGATCTATGCTGCATCAGCTAGTGACACATTTAATTTATATCCAGTTTCTGCATTGGGTCATGTTAAGCCTTTTCTTTGAAGTCAGTGCTCCTTTTTCATTTATGAACTGCATATTATAACCAGAATGGAAAAGCTGGTCCTGAGTACAGAAGAATTTAGAAATTTATGCTCAACCTCACCAAGTACATATGAATTTTTTTTTCTTTTTTTCAAGACTGGTGTTTACTGTAGAGGCATAGAACATTATATCTTACATTTTATCATACACAATGCCATTTCTGAGTGTCTTTCCATCAGAATTGAGCATTCTCTGGATAAAACAGACCAGTGAAACAAATACAACACTCCTACATAGCTAAGGGGTGAGTGTGGGTGTGTGTGCGGGTGTATGTGTGGGTGTCTGTCCACTTTAACTGTCACACCCAAAAATACCACGCTACCAACTGTTTATAAACAAAGGGCAAGATATGATATTCACACACACTCTCCTGGCACAGATAGTTTCATATGTAATGATAGATAGAACAACACCTGTAGAGAGCAAACAAGACAGAGAATAACAGGTAGAGTTGTGACACTACATTTCCCATTTACAGAAAAGTTAAAAAAATAGTCTTTTCTTACTCCTATTTCTCATGATCAAATTTTCATGACTGAGTTCTGTCAATTAGATGGAGGAAAATGTAGAAAACCTGTTGTGGATCGTTAATATTCAGCAATTAAAAACAATAGAGCCAGCACCAATATGTGGATCTATGAAGTTACATTAAAGCTGGGAAAAGGCTGGGAAAGGGGCCTAAGTGAAAGCTGACAGACCACATGATGGCTGATATAGAAATAAGTTCTTGATCTTTATTAATAATTGTTTCTGAAAAGGCAAAAAGAAAAGGGTGGGGCGGGGGGGGAGGAATTTCAGCTTTTTCAGTAAATTGCATGCACTATTGATACAGGTTATTCAGTTTGGGTTTTTTTTGGTAACTCATGTATTGGACAGTGTGTCTCTGTGTGCGTTTGCAGATACGCATGTCCACACATACACATATATGTGTACATATACACCCAGACATATACATGGAGATATACATGTATTTGATTGACTCATCATATGAAGGTGGTCATCATTTTTATTGTCCATGCATTGGGGTGAAGAAAGACATACACAAAAAAAAAGAAAGTATGTGACTTACAGGGTAGCACATGGAAGAATTGTATCTGCTGTTTCCTCCTGGTTTGACCAAAAAGCAGCCAGTCCTGTTAGTTTTATGAGGGACGCACTGACAGTGCACTGCAGAACCCCCCCCCACACACACACCTGCAGCAGGCATGTGCTCCTCACACCCATGCACTTGCATGCTCCCACATTACCAGAAAGTCTGCTGTCTCTGTTTCATAGCTATTATTTTAATTTGTCCCCATGAAGCACTAAGATGAAAGGATAAAATTGTCCTCTATTAGATTTGGTGGCAAGTGCCAAGCACAGCAAAAGTTAAGGTATAAGGAAGAAATTCATAGTCTAAGTACAATTTTTAAGGTCTTGATGTGGTTGTCTTACTGCTGTAAGAAATGTAAACATTTCCTTGTAGTTTTTGAAAATGTCTTAAAACTGTCACTGCCATCTTTAGCAGCTTGTCTTTCAAACCAGCATCAATGGCCAAATAGTAAGAAATACATGTGACAGAAGGTACAGACCCCTTGATCTGGGCCAGGCTTGGTCACTTGGATACGAAAAGACTTATTTGGCCTCAGCAAATGTGGAAAAGGGCAAACAAATGTAGTTTGCATGCACTGTACAAGTGACACTACAAATTATTTTGGTTGTTGGGTAGTGATGGGTATTATTGTAGGATATTTTTGGCCTGTTTAAGGAAGATTTTTCATCTCTTGATCTCTTCATATAGTAGGAGAAGGAGAAAGTGAAATAGTGTGTTCTCATTCAGGGAGGACTGGTTTTGTTGGGGTGTGGGTGGGAGTGTGTGTGTTTGTGTGTAAACTGCATCTAACATCTAATGCAATAATTGGGTGCATAAACTAATGCATGACCAAAAAAAAAGCAATAATTTACAAATGGGTAAGTATTAATGTTTTCACTGCATGATCACTCAGGAGCCAAGTTATAAACATGTTAGCGACTGCCCTAGTCTACCTGACTCACAGGGCTCAAACCCAAATACTGAGCAGGTGCTTAAATTATTTTATCAAGAAGTGAATTCCTAAGGGCTCCGGGATCCCAATGTATTTGAAATCAACACAAATTGAGGTCAGGAGTGTGTGTATGTGTGTTATTTTGTTTTTACAGCTGTTATCATTGTGAATTTCTCCAGCACCAAAAGAAGTATGTGTCTCACCTTTTATTTCTAGGTTTAAATGTGCTTAAACAAAATAACCAAGTGTGTGAAAGGTGATGAACAACACAAAGTGAAAACAGAAATCCGTTCCCTGTGTTACAGTGGTTTAGTCTGGGAATATCTGTCAAAATCAATGGCAAATGCATAAAAAAAATCAGGGGAAAGGAGAGTTCTTTATATTCTTTCTGTTGTTTTCCGTTCTGTGCCCTCTGAACCACCACGATCCCCAACATATGAAAAAGCACCTTTTTAATTTTTTTTTTT